GTCCTCTTTCCTGTGGCAGCTTCTCAGACTGGAAGATAGTTGTCATGCAACCCTCAAATTCTTGTCTTGAATAAGCTAATTTGCTCAACCGTTCATCAGACAATTTATCTATTTTCCAAAGCACCTGAAGGCCAGACGAGGATTAATGGATGGGAACTGATCAAGGAGAGATTCAAATTGGAAATAAGGAGGAATTTTCTGACAGTGAGAACAATCGACCCATGGAACAGAAGTTGCCATTGAGCGCCACATCAGGGTTGTGTTTCACCTTTGGGGGGGCGGGGGGCTGGGAAAGTATGGCGGGGGGGTGGCTGGGGGGGGGTGGCCAGCCCAATGCTACTCGTGTTGGGGCGCCTGAGGTGTATCTTGTCTTTTTATGTAAACTGAGACCTTATGCACTAAGGACAAATTCCTTGTGTGCCCAATCACACTTGGCCAATAAATAACGAATTCTATTCTATCCAAGGATTGGGCTTGACAGGCATCGTAATTAATGATCCTTTCTTTAAATAAATTCTCCAATGCCCGGTTGATCTTCCCAGTACTTAGAACGGTACCAAACACACATGGACAGTGGGGGGGAAATTGGTGGAGGGACAAGGAAAGTACTACATTTCTACAAGCCAGATGTTAGATCCGGAAACCAAACTCAGGAACCAGCAGGAAGGCCTCCAAAATCAAGATGCTTCTCATTCGGAACTTACCCCGTGCCCATTGCATTTGTCCTTGAGGTCACAGTCATAATCTAAGATGGACGCATTAACGCATTGGTAGTGTTTGCAGACCTGAAACGAAGCAACACAAAGTATGGTTCATTTACATGCAAGCCGTTAAACGCCAATTATCTGAGACATCCCCTCCCCAACTTGGCCCTGTTCCAATGGGGACCACCCAAATTTTCAGCTAAATGTAAAAGCAAACCAAGGGATTCCATGCATTTGAGGCAGCCAAAGACAACTCTCAAAAGAATGGTGTTGTTTTGATCCAGCTCCCCAAACACAACAAACCCTCTGTAGTTGAAGCAATGATTCATTTATTAGGAGCGTCAACAGTCCTGGCAAAATGTCTCTCTCTCAACACAGGCCAACAAATCCGTCCATCTGGAAGATGAATAGTTGTCAGCTACATACTCTCTCATCTCTGCCCCCTGCCTTTTATCCCCAGAGTTAGGGTGGGGCTTCGCTAGCACTGATTGGCAATTCCGTCCCAAGGACCAGCCCATAGATTTCCACTGCTCTCCTCTCCTCTGTCTTCTGCGTATCCGTGCGTCAGGCACTGGAACCAGCTATTCCTCTTCTTCCTCATCTGCCACCTCCAGACCTGGGGGCTGTTGACTCGCCATCTGAGGACTGATGGCCCAGGCTCTGCCTCTGTCTCTCTCTCTTTGACAGCTCCGTTTCCCCTTCCTCCTGAGAGCTCTCACATATGCCTTCATGCTGACCCTGACTCCAATGCCTCCTCCTCTGATTCGGCTGCTTGGAGGGGCCAGCCGATCAGATGCTTGGATCTGCGGGGCCAGCCTGGAAATATCAAAGGACCAACCCATGGTGCCTCTGCCAGCCAAAACAGGCTTTGGCAGGGCCTCATGTGGCCACCCGTAGCCCGTTTTCAGCCAGCAGAGTGCTGCAGGAGCCTGTCCGTCTCGTCTCCCCCCACTCACCTCCTGACCCGTGAAGGAGAACAGTAATGGTGATCCGGCCCTCAAAGAAATCCAGTTTGACACCCTAGAGCAGAGGTGGGAAACTAGGGCCCTTTTACGATCTGTGAACTTCAACTCCCAGAATTCCTGAGCCAGCCAGGTTCCCCAGGCCTGCTGTAGAGAAATCGACTCGTCCTCAGGGCTTTGAGGCGGCCCACGCGAGCTGAACATACCTTTCCAGGGGCACATTTGGTGCCTTCGTTCACCATCCCGGGATCGGGCACGTCTGACCCTAGCTGGAAGTCCACGCCCCAACAGGTGGTGTCTTTGATGGGAGTTTGGATAATGGCAGGCTTGATCCGAAAGACCGGCAAGGTTTCCACATTCTCACATTGCAGCTTTCCGCACATGGCATTCCTGACAAGACAAGCGTCATCACTGCAATGGTGTTGTGACCCGGCTCCCCAAACATGACAAACCTTCTGTAGTTAATTAAATGTTCCCTTTCATTAGGAGCACCAACAGCCCCAGCTCTTCCATCCCAAGGACCGGCCCATAGATTTCCTCTGCTCTCCTCTCCTCTGCCTTCTGCGCATCCACACGTCAGGCACCGGACCCATCTGTTCCTCCTCTTCCTCATCAGCCATCTTCACACCTGGGTGCTGTTGATTCTCCATTTGAGGGCTGACGGATGGCCCAGGCCTCATCTCTCTATCTCTCTCCCTCCCTCCCCCTCTCTCTCTTCCTTCCTCCCTCCCTCCCTCCCTCCCATTCTCTCTCTCTGACAACTCCATTCTCTCTTCCCCCCCCCCTCGGAGCTCTCAGGTTGCCTTGATGCTGACCCTCACTCCCACACACCCTCCTCCTCTGATTCGGCTGGAGGGCCACAACAGGCCACAACAAATGGCTTGCACCATATTTGGAGAGTTGATATCCCTTCTGTTTTGCTTGTGGGATTGGTTTACTAATCATAATTCAGATAAAAATTATCCTGATGCTCCCAGGCTCAAGCTATGAAAAACCTATGAAAAAGCAAGACATAACACAAGGAGA